TTCGCCCAGATGCGCAGCGAGTGCAGCTGCCTCCGCAGCTCGGTCGGCAAGCCGCACTCGCGGTGCCAAAAGTTGATGCGCTCCTCGAAGCCGTCGGGCGCCGCCGCAGAGCGCGAGGCGTAAGCAGCGTCGAGGCGCGGCATCAGCGTCTTGAAGGCGAGCAGCATGTTGTCCTGGATGCGCGCCTGCGCGTCGCCGCCCGTGCGCATGCCGCGCACCTGCACCGAGAGCGGCGAAGGCTCGTACCCGGTGGTGCGGGCGGCTGCCGCAGCGGCCTCGTCTCCAGGTGCCGGCGCAGCCTCCTCCACCCCCGCCCCGCCCTGCGCACTCGACAGCAGCCCCCGGAGCGTCGTGACAGCCTCGGGCAGCGTGCAGCGGTTGCGCAGGCTGTCGTGACAGAGGCTCTTCTGCCCGTCTCCCGCCTTGGCAAGGTCCTTGACAGCGCGCGCAGCCGTCTCAGGCCACCCCGCCGCCGCGTCTGCGATCTGGGACGCGTCGATGTTGGTCCAGAGTCCGTCAAACTCGTCCTCGCACCGGTCGGTCAGCTGCACCTCGGACCGGCTGGTGAGGCAGACGAGGAGGGTGATGCCGATGGCGTAGCCGTCCGTCTTGCTCGAATACTCGCCCCCCTTGGAGATGGAGGGGCAGAGGTAGCCCGTGGACATGTAGAGGGCGGTCGAGCGGCAGCGGACAGAGGCGTCGGGACGCTGGTCCTTGGCGAAGCCCGTGTCGGCGAGCACGGCGGTCAGCTTCTCGTCGAGCAGGATGTTGTCCTGCTTGACGTCGCGGTGCACGATGCCCTTCGAGTGGAGGTAGACGAGCGCCTCGGTCGCCTCGCAAGCAATGCGAACGCGCTGCCGCCACGTCAGCGGCCTCGGCGGCTCTTCCATGCCCAGCCGCCGGAGCTGCGCAGCGCGGTCGGGATCCGAGATACGCAGCCGCGCCTCGAGCGAGCCGCCGCGCATCAGCGGCGATAGGAGGCAGACGCCGTCGGGCGAGAGGCAGTAGCCGAGCAGCGGCAGCAGGTGCGGGTGGCTCACCGCCTTGAGCAGCTTCACCTCGAGCTCCGCCCGCGACAAGCCGCCCGACTGGCCCGACTTTGCCCGCTTGACGACGAGCGGCAAGTGGCGCAGCTGCGGAGGCGCGGCGAGGGAGAGGTGGAGGTCGGCCGACGCCTCGTAGACGCGGCTGAAGCCGCCGCTGCCAATCAGCTTCCCGTCGGCGAACCCATCGGTTGCCGCGGTGAGGTCCGACAAGGCTATCTCGACTGGCCGAGCAGCCGCCTCGTCTGCCGCGGCCGGCTCGGCGACAGACAGAGTTTCCAGCTTCGACTCCGCCGCGCTCACCTCCTCGGCCAACGCAGGCAGCGCGCCCACATGCGGCCTGGCGGCAGCGATGCCCGCTCGGAGCGCGGAGGGGCTGTCCGCTGTGTCGAGCGACTTGAGCGCGCCCATCGCCGCGCCATGCGCCTTGCGCAGCCGCTGGCTGTCCCGCCTCCGCGCCTCCTTGAGCTTGTCGCGCGCGCGCCTCGCCGCCGCCAGCACGGCCGGGCTCGCGAGGCCGCTGCACGCCTCCAGCGCGCTGGCCACGCTCTCGTACGAGCCAGCGGCCACGGCCTGCTGCAGCGCCTCGTCCGCCGCGGCGATGGCGGCTGCGTCGGCGGGCGGAGGAGATGGGGCTGGCGGTGGGGTTGGCGGCTGCAAATCGGCGGTGGCGCTGGGGCCAGGCGCCGCGTTGTCTGCCTCGCCGCCGCCGCTCTTCTTCTTCCTCCTCTTGCCCTTCTTGCTCTTTGCGCGCTCCTCCGCCTCCTTCTTCTCCGCCTCCTCCTCCGCCAGCAGCGCCTCGGCATGCCGCGCCGCCTCCGCCTCTGCCGCCGCTCTCTCCGCCTCCCTCGCCTCCGCCCCCGCAATCCACGCCGCCTCCTTCGCCGCCTTCTCAGCCGCCGCCTCCGCCTCAGCCAAGACCTTTACGCACTCGGCGTGGCCATTCCTCTTGGCCATCTGCAGCGCCGTCTTGCCCTTCTCAGTGCGCGCCGTCGCGTCTGCGCCCGCCCGCAGCAGGCGGAGCACGATGGCGGGGTAGTTCCAGTAGGCGGCGCCCATCATCGCGGTGCCGCCGTCGCTGCTGGGCAGGTTGACCTCCGCGCCGCGCTGGATCAGCAGCTCGATCACCCGCTCGTGGCCTTTGTTGGCGGCGCACATAAGCGCGGTGCCGCCCAAGCTGTTCTGCAGGTTGATCTCCGCGCCGCGCCGGAGCAGCAACTCGACCACTTGCTCGCTGCCATACTGGGCGGCGCGCATCAGCGCGGTGCCGCCGCCGCAGCTCTGCTGGTTGATCTCAGCCCCGTGCCGCAGCAGCAGCTCGACCACCCGCTCGTGGCCTTGGCCGGCGGCGTCCATCAGCAGCGTCATGCCGCTCAAGCCGCCTCTCTCGTACGTCGCGTCGGCCCGCCCGCCGCCCTCAAGCCACGCCAGCACCGCCGCCTCCTCGCCTCGATGAGCCGCTGCCACGACCGCATCGGAGACTGGCACGCCACCCCTCGCCGCCGCCGGCGACAGATTACCCGGCCGCACCCGCACGCTCTCGCCGCCGCCCTCAAGCGCCACAGCGTACCGCCCGCCCTCGAAGCTCTGAGCCACGCCCCGCTGCCCGTTCAGCTCGGGGCGGGCCGAGAGCCCGCCGAGCACGACTCGCTGTCCGAGCAGCGGCGCGTCCACAGCTGCCGCTGCCGCGCCCGAGGAAGCGCCGCCCGCCCCTGCCCGGCCGTCTGCAGCCGCCGCCGCCTTAGACAAGACCTTTACGCACTCGGCGTGGCCCTTCTCCTTGGCCAGCTGCAGCGCCGTCTTGCCGTCAAAGGTAGGCGTCGTGTCTGCGCCCGCCCGCAGCAAGCACCGCACGACGGCGGGGTGGCCGAAGAAGGCGGCGGCCATCAGCGCGGTACCGCCGTCGCTCCTCTGCAGGTTGATCTCCGCGCCGTGCCGAATCAGCAAGTCGACCACCCGCTCGTGGCCTCTGTCGGCGGCGCGCATCAGCGCGGTGCCGCGTTTGCTGTCTTGTTGGTTGATCTCCGCGCCGTGCCGCAGCAGCAGCTCGACCACCCGCTCATGGCCTCCGATTGCGGCGTACATCAGCGCGGTGTCGCCGTCGCTGTCCTGCAGGTTGATCTCCGCACCGTGCCGCAGCAGCAGCTCGACCATCCGCTCGTGGCCGTAGCGGGCAGCGCCCATCAGCAGCGTGAGGCGGCTTCCGCCTCTCTCGTACATCGCGTCGGCCCGCCCTCCGCCCTCGAGCCACGCCAGCACCGCCGCCTCCTCGCCTCGATGAGCCGCTGCGATGACCGCATCGGGGGCTGCCACGACACCGCTCAACGCCCGCTCCGCCGCAGCCGGCGACAGATTACCCGGCCGCACCCGCACGCTCTCGCCGCCGCCCTCGAGCGCCACAGCGTACCACCCGCCCTCTCGCCCCGCACCGCGCCTCGAAGGCCCGTTCAGCTCGGGACGTGAAGAGAGGCCGCCGAGCTCGACTCGCTGCCCGAGCAGCGGCGCGTCCACAGCTGCCGTTGCCGCGCCCAAGCTCACTTGCCTGGCCATGTCGGGCCGCAAATCACAAAATAACTTGCGGGCCCTCAGCGGAGCTGGGAATAGGACCGCCGCGAGCGGCGTGGCGTGGAGCGGTTGTGCATCCCTCCGGGGGCCCCTCTGCGCCGGGGAGGCGATGTTGGAGCTAGGACGCAAGCGTCCGTCGCCTTTTTCAAACTCGGGGCCCACTCCGCTACGCTCCGACCCGAATTTGGAGGGCCTAAAAGTTTAAGGTATTGCTGCGCAAAAGGGGAAGACACTCCACGCACAAAGTACATGCATACTTCCTCTTAGGCGGACCCTCCCGATGCCAGGACGCATCTAGTGCTAGTGTCGCTTTAGGAAATGCGGCGGCGAATGGCAAAGCGCATAAAGAAAGTCGGGGTCGCAGAGAGCGTCGCGCAGCAGTTGAGCATGCTCGTGCGTTGTTTAGGACGCCACGCCAATTATCTGCGCGCCCATCTGTTGCCTGGCATCCCCTGCGAATTCGTCGCTCGTGATCAGCTCCGCCGCCGCTCGTAGCAACCAGTGCCGTGTCGAGATGAAGCTCCGCGACGACGCCCGTGGACTGCACGCGCAGGGAGAGGCGCACGAGCTCCCGCACGGCAAGCGACTTCTCGGCATGCGCCGCCTGACGCCTGTCGGCATCCCATTCTTGCAAGCAAGCCACATTTCTACCGACGACCGCGTATTTGGTCGCGGAGAGGACGTTTTGGTACGTTTTGGCACCAGCTGAAGGCTTGCACGGACAAGAGCCCGTTGCCAACCGCACTTTTGCCAGAGCCTCGCGAATCAATTGGCCTCCGCTCGGGTGTGAACATATTCGCTGCGATCAAAATTTACAAGAAAACTGGCGATAAAAAGAATTCGAAAAATACACTAGCACACTAATCCACCACAAAAAGAAACCGCCGCTGCCCCGAGATCGCACGAGATCGCCCGAGATCGCACGAGATCGCCCGAGATCGCGTTGCGACGCGCGAGGTGGGTGTGCGGGATGTCTGTGCGCTCTGTGGTCCCGAGTAAGAATCTCGGCCCCGAGAGCGATGTGTTTGTTTCATAACGTCGACGGCTACCTCAAAAAGAAAATGGTGCCACAGGGTGATAAAACATCCCAACGCAACCGCCTTGCCCCTACGGCCAACTCCCTCGGGGCGCGGCTCTCAATTCATTCCACGGCTTTAAGAGTGAGCGAGCGAGCGAGAGAGGGAGAGAGGGAGAGAGGGAGAGAGGGAGAGAGAGAGAGAGAGAGAGAGAGAGAGAGAGAGAGAGAGAGAGAGAGAGAGAGAGAGAGAGAGAGAGAGAGAGAGAGAGAGAGAGAGAGAGAGAGAGAGAGAGAGAGAGAGAGAGAGGGAGAGAGAGAGCTGAGCAGTGGCAGCAGATGACTCAACCCGCAAAGGGGGCGCAGCGAGGAGGTGCTCAAGAGCCGCACGCAGACCGGCGAGACGTCGCGCGAGCTGTGCGAGTCGAGTCGTTGGTGCGGTCGCACAGCTCGGCTCGCGGCTCGATCAGACGCTGTTTCTGCTGTTGCATCAGCACTTGCCGCTTCTTGAGACGCGCCGGTTCTTCCTCGGCTGCAGCCACCTTCTCCGCGATCGCCTGCAGGCTCATCTTTGCCGGGCTGCCGGTCGCCGCGTCCCACAACCTGCGGTACGTAGTCGACGCCACCTCGGCGCTGGGGGCATCGTCCTCCCGGAGCTTCGAGGGTGCCGACGTCTGTCGCGTTGGGGGTACCGGCGGGAGTTCCACCAGCGGAGAGGGCGCCCTCGCACCACAAGCATCGTAGTGGTGGGGCTCGCCGGCTCCGATTCCGCCACGTCGGGATCCTTGGCGATGAGCTCGGCGTGCGTGCCGCATTCGACGACGCGCCCATGGTCGACAACCACGATGGCGTCCGAATCGCGGATGGTGCTGAGCCGATGCGCGATCACGAGCGCAGAACCACGCCGCGCCAGATTGTCCAACGCTTTCTGCACCTTGGCTTCGTTCTCATTGTCGAGCGCGCTCGTCGCCTCGTCGAGCAGGATCACGTCGGGGCGGCGTAGCATTGCACGCGCGATGGCGAGCCGCTGGCGCTGGCCGCCAGAGAGGTTCGACCCACCCGACTCGAGCATCGTCAACAGCTTGTCCGGCTTCTCGTTGATGAACTCCCACGCCTGCGCGTCCTTGCAGGCCTGCACGATGTCGCGCTCGCTCACGTCACGCTCTATGCCATACGTCAAGTTGGCGGCGATCGTCTGGCTGAACAGGACCGTCGACTGGTCGACAATCACAACGCGCGAACGGAGAAGTGACGTGATACTCTTGGATCGGCACGTCGTCCAGCAGGATCGTGCCGCGCTGAGGCTCGTAGAGGCGCTGCAGCAGCGCCAAGCAGCTCGACTTGCCGCAGCCCGTCGGCCCAACCAGCGCGACCTTGGCGCCTGGCTCGACACCTGTTCCTTTTTACCCATCTCAGAGTAGAGGTGTCCGTTTTATTTATTTATTTATGGCTACCCTAAGAATCGCACCGTGGGGCTTGCCCTACGCTCGGGGCCCTACGCATACGGCGACGTCTTGGGAGGTGCGCCGAGCGAATTCTGTTTGCCTGAATTTGGGTGTGTTTGACGACTCGAACCCGACTACCCCGTGCACGGCTCAGCCTGCCGAGAAGGGCCCCTATCCCCAAAGAGCCGGAACCCAAACATGGTTAGCAGCGGCGCGGGTTCCCTGAGCTGCTGTGACGTGGCCGTGCTGGCGGCGGAGCGTGGCGAGGAGGAGGCGGTGCTGGCGTGGCTCGAGGGCGGAGGGCGGGCCGACGCGACGTGCAAGAGTGGCGAGGTAAGCGGCGTCACGCTGCTGATGGGCGCCGCTCGCAATGGCCACGAGCGGATGGTCGAGCTGCTGATCCGGCACGGCGCGGAGGTCAACTTGCAGAGCAGCGACGGCGTCACCGCGCTGATGATCGCCGCCCGCAACGGTCACGAGCGGGTGGTCGAGCTGCTGATACGGCACGGCGCGGAGCTCAACGTGCAGAGCAGCAAAGGCCGCACCGCGCTGATGATCGCCGCCTTCCAAGGCCACGAGCGGGTGGTCGACTTGCTGCTGCGGCACGGCGCGGAGGTCAACCAGCAGGACAGCGGCGGCAACACCGCCCTGATGCTCGTCGCCCAGGAAGGCCCCGAGCGGGTGGTCGACTTGTTGCTGCAGCACGGCGCTGACGTCAACCTGCAGAGGAGCGACGGCGTCACCGCGCTGATGGCCGCCGCCGAGAACGGCCACGAGCGGGTGGCTGAGCTGCTGCTGCAGCACGGCGCGGAGGTCAACCTGCAGAACAGCGGCGGCTGGACCGCGCTGATGTGCGCCGCCGGCCAAGGCGGCGAGCAGGTGGTCGAGTTGCTGATTCGGCGCGGCGCGGAGATCAACCTGCAGGACAGCAACGGCCGCACCGCGCTGATGTATGCCGCCTACAGCGGCTACCCCGCCATCGTGCTCCGCCTGCTTCGGGCTGGCGTGGATACAAAGGCTCGCGCTGCAGACGGCAAGTCTGCGCTGCAGTGGGCCAAGGAGGGGGCGGCCGAGGTGCTAGCTACTGCCGACGCCGCCAGTGCTCCTGAAGCGGACCACGCCGGGTGCGTGCGCGCTCTCACAGAGCACGCGGCGGCGCTGAGGGAGGCGGAGGCGGCCGAGAAGGCGGCAGAGAAGGCGCGCGAGGCCAAGGGGCGGCGCGAGCAGCGCGAGCGAGAGGAGGCGGCGGCGGCGCGAGAGCGCGAGCAGGCGGCACGCCAGCGCGAAGCAGAGCGAGCGGCGGACGAGGCGCGCCGGGCGGCGGACGCGGCGGCTCTGGAGGAGCAGAGGAGAGCCATTGCGGCGGAGGCGGAGGCGAAGCTGGCCGCTGAGCGCGCGGCAGCAGAGGAGACTCTGCGGGCGAGGGAGGCGGAGAGGCTTGCGGCGGAGGGGGCGCAGCGAGAGGAGCAGCGGGCGGCCGCGGCGGCGCGCAAAGCCGCTCAGGCAGAGGCGGCGCGGCGCGACAAGGAGGCTGCGGACAAGAGGGCGGAGGAGGAGAAGGCGAGGCGGCGCGCAAAGGCGGCGGAGGCAACGGCGGCCAAGAAGGAGGCCAAAGCGAAGAACAATAAGGCCAAGAAGGCGCCGTCTGCTTTCGCGCTCGAGGAGGAGCGGAGGGCGAAGGCTGCGGCAGAGCTTCGCGCACAGGAGGAGAGGGCGGCACAGCTGGCTGCTGAGCAGGAGGCAGCGAGGCGGGCGGAGCGGGAGGCGGCAGAGCTAGCGGGTGCGGCAGAGCGGGCGGCGCTGCGCGAGGATGCGGAGCTGGCAGAGGCGCTGCGCCGGTCAGAGGTGGATGCCGAGGAGGCGCTGGCGCGTCGGGTGTCGCGGTGCGAGGAGGCGGTGAGCAGCGAGTCGACCGGCGGCGGCGGGGACTTGGTGCGGCGTGTCGAGCGGCTGGAGGCGAGCCTCGTCGCGGCGACCGAGGGTAGCCTCGAGGAGCGGGTCGGCGCCATCGAGCGCTTGATCGAGCCGGAGGCGAGAGAGGCGGCGGAGCAGCATCTGCCAGTCACTGAGCCGCTTGCTGCCGTCTCACTAGCCGACGCCTGCCTCGACACGGGGCGGCAGGCTGCCCCCGAGTCCACGATGGGGGGAGAGACCACGTGTATCGTGTGTTTCGCGAGAGTCAAGTCGCATGCTGCGGTTCCGTGCGGGCACTTGTGCGCTTGTGGGCCGTGCTCTGAGCTGATGCAAGAGTGCCCTTACTGCCGCGAGCCAGTGATGATGTGGATGGTTCCGCGTCCGGTCTAGGCGTCTAGATCTAGATTTGCGTTGTACGGCTCTCTTGGGCACGGAAAATTCTTTTAAGTGCCTCGCCACCCTCGCAGGAGTCGCTTAGGCGGCTCCCGTGGTGTACCTGTGTTCGTGCCAGTGCGCGCCAGTCCCGTGCCCAGTGTTGTGCGAGGGAGTTTTGTTGTAAGATTCTTTTAGCTGACTGGCGGGTGGAAGCGTCGGCCGCCCGGTCCGCCACCTCGCCAAGCCCTCATGTCCTCATCCCTCGACGAGCCGGCGCAAACCACGAGCGAGGAGAAGCTCACTTTGCTCAAGCGCGCCTACCGCGCGCTAAAGGAGGAGTCTGAGCGGCGCGAGGCGACCATGCAGGAGGAGCGCGCCTCGATGCAGCGCGAGCGCGGTGCGCTGCTCGCGCAAATCAAGGTCCTCACGCGGGACCTGGACGGTCTGAAGGAGTCCGTCCGCCGCGCTGGCGCGGAGGCGCGGGAGCGCCTTCTCGCCAACGGTGAGCCGCTCGGCCGCTTCTCCTCCGGCGCCGGAGCCTGCCCTGGCAGCGTGGCGAGCAGCAGCGGCTGCAGCAGCGCCCACTCTGCCGGCGGCGGCGGGAGCGAGGGCGTGGGGTCGTACCAGAAAGGGCGCGAGTGGGCGGCGCGGGTGCTGCACGCGCGGGATGCGCTGACGAGCGCCCTCTCCACCTCGCTCGAGTCGGTGCAGGGCCTCGCCGTGCCGGCCTCCGTGCAGGCGCAGCTGGCGCGGCAGGCGGCCCTGCTCGACGACCACGCCGCCCACTCGCAGGCGCTGTGGCTTCAGCTCTCCGAGGCGCGGGGCGGCTGCGCGCACACACTTCCTCACACACTGCCTGCGGCATCGCCACAGCCGCCTCACCACAGCAGCCTCACCCTAACCTGGCTGCGGCACCGCCACGGCACACGGCCAGGCTGCGGCGGCCACACTGCCTGCCTCGCACAGCCTAACTGCGGTGGCACCGCCGCCGCCGCCGCCGCCGCCGCCGCCGCCGCCGCCGCCGCAACCACCGCCACCACCCTCCAACCCGCCACCAGCACAGCCTCCCAGCCCCCTCTCTTCCCAGGCGCGGGCCGCCGTCGCCGCAGCCCACGCCACGACTCGCGCCGAGAGCGACCGAGCCGACGCCGCGACGGGGCAGGCGTCCGAGGTGCTGGCGGTGGCGGACGAGGCCGAGGCGCGACGCGCCGACGCGGTGGCCTCGCTCGCCGCGGTGCGTGGCCAGCTGGCTGCGGCGGTGGCGGCGAGTCAGTCCGCCGCCGAGGCGGCTGCAGCGAGGGAGCCGGAGATGCGCGGCCGGCGGTCTGTCGGCGACGCGTCCGAGCACTCGTCCGTGACACGTCCAATAGGAGGCGGAGATGCGCGCCGCCGCCGACGCAGAGCTGGCGAGGACGCGCCGCTCGCTTGTGTGGCGCGGCGCGAGCCAGCTGTGAGGCGCTTCTGTTGTGCGGTAGGCGGACCTGCGGGTGGGGCTCGCAGAGGCGTGGGCCGAGAAGAGGCGCGTCCAGGCGCAGCTCGACCTCGCGCGGGGCTCGCTCGGCGCGCCGCCGCCGCTCGGCGCGCCGCCGTTGCCGCCTGTCGAGCCGGCGGGCGGAGAGCCGTCTCCTTCCTCTCCCTCGGCGGCCGCAGCTCCCTCCGTCGCTGCCGCTCTGGCGGCCGCGGTCACCGCGTCCGTCGCCGCTCCCGCTGGCAGCTGCAGCAGCGGCTCCGAGCGGACGTCAGCCGCGCGCTCTCCCGCCCCCGACGCGCGGTTCGGCAGGTCGGCGGCGGCGGAGGCGCCCGACTGCAGCGGGAGTGCCGGCAGCGGGGCGTGCGCGGTGCCGGCGTCTGTGGTGCCTCCTCTCGAGCCGCGGCACGACGGGAGCGGCGGCGCCGAGCCTGCCTTCCTCTGCAGCGAGGACGACGACTCGCCCCGCGCTGCACACGCCGACGCGCACGGGGGGGGGATGGGCTCCGGCTTGCAGGGCGGCGGCGCGGGCGGGCAGGCGGGAGGGGACTTGTGCGGCTCTTTCCTCTCGCTCGCCGAGGCGCACACCGAGAATGAGTGGCTCATGAGTGGCTCATGAGTGGCTCATGAGTAGCTCATCAGTAGCTCATGAGTAGCCCATTAGCCGAGGTGCACACCGAGCCCTTCTCAGGGAGGAGGGGCGCACTCCTGCTGATAGCCCCCTGGAACCCCCCCGCCAGGCGGAGCCGCTCGTGCGGCGCGCGCTTGGCTTCGCAGAGTCGTTTGAGCCGGCGGGCGGCAGTGCCGACGGCGAGGCGGTGCGCGCGCTCTTGGCTTCGCTCGAGGAGGAGGTCCGCATTCCCCCCCCCCCCCCCCTCCCCCCCCTCTCTCGAGCAAGGGGGCCGTGCAGGTGTGTCCGCGAGTCCTCTAACCCTAACCCATACCCTCCCCTCCTCGCAGGCGGCGGCTCTCTGGCCGGCGGGGTGGCCGGCGGCGGCGCTGCACGAGGGGCTCGAGCGGTACGTGATGGGGCTCCTCCTCCCAAAGGTGCGGCCGGGACGTGTGCCGAGGGGGAGGTAGAGAGGGTAGGGAGGTAGAGAGGGTAGGGAGGTAGAGAGGGTAGCCGGAGAGACAGCCCGAGGAGGTTGGGCCGGAGCTGAGGCGACTGTGGCGCCCCCTCCTCGCCCGCAGGTCTTCGCCACCGGCGCAGACGCAGTCGAGGACAAGGCGCGAGCCTCGCCGCCAGCCTGCAGCCCCGCAGCCCGTCCCCTCGCTCGAGACGCGAGGCCGTCCCTCCAGGTGCTCTCCGCGCAGCTCGACACCCTCGCCTTCATCGGCGGCGCGCACGTCGGGATCGACGAGTCGCAGGCGGCGGGGACGGCTCATCATTAGCCAGCACCAAGTACCATTCGCGAGGCGGTCGCTGCCGCACGGACAATAGGCGGTCGGCCCGGACTGGGAGGCGGCTCTCGGCGAGCTGGGCGGCATCAACTCTCTCGCCGCGCCGGCCGACAAGATGGGGGTGCACCCCCGCAGCTCCGCTAGACATCACCCAGACCGGACTCGCCGCTTCCCTCCGCCTCCCTCCGCCCATCTCCGCCCCCTCCGCCCACCTCCGCCCCCCTCCGCCCCCCTCCGCCCACCTCCGCCCCCCTCCGCCCCCCCTCCGCCCCCCTCCGCCCCCCTCCACCACCCTCCGCCCCCCTCCGCCCCCCTCCGCCACCCTCCGCCCCCCTCCGCCCCCCTCCGCCCCCCTCCACCACCCTCCGCCCCCCTCCACCCACCTTCGCAGGCGGTGGTGCGCGCGTGCGCGCGTCTGTCTGCCCTCGTCGCGCCCAGCGACGGCTCCTTCGTCCGGCTCCTCGCCCTCGCCATCTTGCGCGCGCGGCCAGCTCGCCTCCACTCCAACCTCGAGTACGTCGCGCGCTTCGTCGACCCGCACCAGCTCTGGTCGCCGGAGGCGGGGGAGCCCTTCACGATCGCGCGCGCCGCGGTGCAGTACCTCGCCCACCTCGACCCCGCGGCACTCTCGACGCCGTCGCACGGTCGCGGGTGACGCCGCGCCGCAGCACGCGAACGGCAGCGGGCAGGCGGCGTCGATGTGACGTTCACACGTGCGCCGAGGTTTTTTTACAGTCAGTGAACCGTACAAAGAGAGCGTGCCCCACGCCCCAGCGTGGCCGTGGGCGCCCGGGGCGGGCGGGCTTCTCGTCCTGCTTCCATCGTGTCACTGTGTCAGTGCTCTAAATGCTTAAAATAAAATGGTCTATCACACGGCAAAAAAGAGCTACGTACTCTGGCTCTCAGAGCTCTCTGCGCGTGGAGCGGAAGAGCAGAGATAGCAGCCCCTACGAGGGCGATGCATGCATGAGCATTGTCTTCCGGGGGCCGGGACCAAGCACGAGCCCGTCGAGCGGAGCGGCCTCTACCGCGAGTTGCACGTGACTTTGTAAAAGGTTGAAAAGTCCCTCTCCTCGGGCAGGATGAAGCAGAGGTAGCCGACCAGCGCGCCGGAAGCGCCCTGCGGTCGCGGCGGGTCGGTTGGGCGGGTCGCGGGGGCGGGAGTACGGGGCAGCGGCCGGGCCGCGGGCGTCGCGGCTCGCCTTCGGGTTGCAGGTCACGGTCACGGTCGTGGGCGGGCCGTTCCGCCGCTCCATCTTTCCGGCGTCGGGCGAGACGGAGAAGGCGGGGTGCGAGTCGGAGGTGAAGCCACAGTAGTAGTCCTCGAAGGTCATGCAGACGGGCTTGACGTCAACCTGCGACGCGGCGGAGCGACCTCGCCCTCTCCGAGCAGCGTGGCCGAGGCAGTGCGCCTCCGCGCGCCTTCATCGCGCCTCCCTCTGTCGCCGAGCAGCTGAACTCGAGGTCCTCGTCCGTCTGCGAGACCTGCGCGGCTCGGGTTAGGGTTAGGGTTAGGGTTAGAGACCTGCGCGGCTCGCGGTTAGGGTTAGGGTTAGGGTTAGGGTTAGGGTTAGACCTGCGCGGCTCGGGGACGGCGAGTGGGCCGGCGACGGGCGCGCACGCAGGGAGGGGTGCGAGAAGAGGTCAGGTGAGGAGGCGCGCCTCCATCTTGGACAGCTTCCAAGACGCCTCTGGCAGCACAAAGAGGCTCGAGTCGGCGACCACCTCCTCCACCTCCGGCACGTAGATGTCCGGGTCCGAGTCGAGCGCGCCAGCCAGCTCGGGACCCGTCGACTTTTTCCGGTTCGGGTCCGCTTGGCTGCCCATCATCCCGTCGGTGTAGCTGATGCCCGACGCGAGCTTCGCCTCCTCGCTCCCTTCCTCGGGGAGAAAGTCGGGCGAGTCGGTCGTGGTAAACTTCGAGGTGTCGCCACCCAGGCCGTGGCCGCCGCCGCCGCCGCCTCCCGGCGGCTTCCAGCCGCTCATGTCGTTGTCGAAGGACTGGCCCGGCGCGTCGTCCCGGGTCGCCTGGTCGTCGCGCATGCTGAGAGCCGCGCCGGTGCGCGGCGGAGCCAGCGAGGAGCGAGGAGCCCCACCGCTGAGGAGCACGAAACCGGAGGGAAACAGAGGCAGCGACAGCAGCAACATCGAGTTGTAGGCAGTAGGAGCCACAGGGTTGGGCCTCGTTGTCGTCGAGGCTGGCGAGGTACTCCCACGCCTCTCGGGGTTTTAGTCTGACCGAGTCAACCCGAGATGCTGGGGCGAGCCGCGGCGAGACTGCGTCAGCTGTTTTCACAGCAGGCTTGAAGTACCTCGCCAGCGTCGAGGGTGCCTCCGCAGGTTTGTTCTTGAAATTCCCTGGGAGAAGAATTTTACCCGATCCCTACGGGCTGCCGACCTCTTTGGCGAAGTTGAAGATGATTCTCTTGGTTGGCGGCGCGATGCCGCCCTGGCTTTCGACGAGACAAATTTTGACAACGCGCCTCATGTCGGAGAGCGACCGTGCCTCGTTCGCCGCTTATCATGTAGAGTTTGTTGTAGAGATTTCACGTTGTAGAGCGCCTCTACATCGCTCTACAACGCACGCAGTTCGTCACGCGGCGGATGTAGAGCTCTACAGCTCTACAGCGCTCCAGAGCGCTCTACATCTCTACAGCTCTACAGCGCTCTACACTCTACATCCTCTACACCCTCCCTCAGGATGTTGGTCCAGCCGGGCGAGGTCTCGGGCGGTGTGATGCCGGTGAGCGTAAGCGTGTGCACCATGTCAGGAGCCGTCGCCGCCACGATCGCCGCGTAGATCGTTGACAGCTCGCCATCGAGCGCCACGGCGTCGGCGAGCTGGCGCCGGGACGGAACCTTTGGCAGAGGCGTCATGACGCCAACCTCAACGCGAAGCGTGGTCACGCGTGGGAGCGCCGGCGCCGGTGGCGGGAGCGGCGCCGGTGAAGACGGCTCTGGCGGCGCCGGTGGCGGGAGCGGCGCCGGTGGAGACGGCTCTGGCGGAGACGGTGGTGGTAACGGCGGTGGAGGCGACGGCGGTGGTGGCGGCGGCGACGGCTGCTGGGACGGAGGCGGCGGGGCGGGCGAAGGCGGAAGGCGTAGGGCCGGTGGCGGCGCGGGGCTCGTGAGACTCTCGCAGAGGAAAGGGAGAACTGCCGACGCGACGTCCGCCGCGCTTGCCTCAGAGGATCTCGCCGACCCCCTTCCCGAACCCACCGAACGACTCGAACAGCAGCAGCCGCACGTCGACGTCCTTGTCCTCCCTGGCGTAGCGATACTCGCCGCCATAGGACGGTATGCGGCGATCGCCGCCCACTACCCTGCCCCCCCTAGTATGCCATCGACCAGTCCCCTGCCCCCTCTCGCCCTTGCTCTTCCTCTCTCCCTCCATTCCCTCGCCCCCATACCCCTCACACTCCCCTCCATCCCCCTCCCCCTCCCCCTCGCCTCCCTCTCCCTCCGCGCGGTAGGGCCCATGCCCCTCGACCATGTTCCGGTAGAACGCCTCGGTGTTAGAGGCAGATGCCCGAGCTGCCGCCGTACGTGCCAGAATTCGACCTCGCGTTCATGTGTCTCAGATGCTGGGCGGTGGAGCCGTCCGGTCGGAGCAGAAGACCCAGCCACTGGCGACGACGAGACGAGCATGCAGGAGGCCGCCGTAGACATTGCCCTCCATCCAGCTTTTTACGGATGGCGAGGGGAGGCTGCAGGCGCTGCTCGCATCTGATGAACCGACAGAGAGGGTTGCACTGGAGGGCGCCGACAACGCGCTTGCAAACTCGCGTGCGACGGTTAATCAGGCGTCAGATCCGTGTGACATTGACATCCGTCACATCGGTGTTTTTCTCGTTGTTTTGTCGCTCGCTCCGCTCGCCACCTCACGCTCGGCCGTCCGGCCATGGCCAGTACCCCGCGTCTCAGTGAGACGCGTGGTACCATCCAACTCCGGTCGATGGGCTCGAATGCGCTCAGCCTCAGGAGGTACCAAACCGCGCGAATTCTGCACGCCTCGCTGCGCCGCTGGCTTGACTGAATCAGGCAGCAGCAGGCTGCTGCTGCTGCCACAGCAGCAGCCTGCTGCGGCCCCATTACGCAAGTTAATGACTAGCAGCACTGCCGGGGGCATACGAGCCGCCAGAGCCGGTGTGCGGCTGTGCACTGCCACCTGCCCGCGGCTACGCACAATGTGCGCTCGCATTGGATGCCCTGCTGATGGACCTGCGTCGCCTAGCTGCACGAGAGCAATGCCGTAGGCGGCGGCCGTAGCATACACTGCGAGCACACTCGGTGCAGCTGCGAGGTGCAGCAAGAGCACGTCGTTCCTGCCTCTGATGCCACTCTCGCGGCTTGTAGCGCGTCACTCGCGCATGCTCTGTTGCTCTCCAGGAGCTACGGCTTTATGGCGGGCGCGTGTGTGGGGCTGTAGCCTGTGTTTGGCCGGTTCTGAACCGTTTACTATCAGTACCATGCCTGGGCCACAAGAATCGCACACGGGGAGCGGCTCAGGGGCCCAGTAAGCCGCGGAATCGCCAAATGTCACAACCCATGCCACCCAGGGCTGGACCTAGCAGGGTAGGCCAGTAGCACCTAGTCTATCCCCGAGACGCGAGAGTGCTCTTCTCCAAGCGAGCCTCCGCACAGCAGGCGGGGGCGTGGGGACCGCTGCTGTGAATGGATTTCAATAGCGCGAAAGGCAGACACACGTATTCCATTCCGGCACGCCGAAGGAGGGGACTCGAGGCGGTGCTAGTACGTCGGTAGCAGAGGTTGGCAGTCGCCACTGATGCGTGACAGACCGCGCTCAGCGTCAGCTCTCCACGCCGCCCCGCCCCGCCCGCTCGCGCGGCGGCCGTGGGCTCACATGGGCTGCGTCTTGCCGGCGGTTTTAAGGATTTTGTCCATCGTGATGGAGAAGTCGTCGCCCAGCAGCACTGACCGGATGGTGGCGTCGGCGAGGGCGTCAAAGACGAGCACCAGCACAATCACAACCACAAAGGCGACCTGCGCCCGCCACGCCGCGCGCGGGTGGGCGAGGCGTCGCGGCGAGGGCGCGGCACCGAGCGCCGCCGCGTCCCCGGGGGTGGGCGCATGGGCGTGGGAGGCGTGCACGCCTGCGAGATGAAGAGCGTCTGCGTCACCTTCTTGATGGAAGGGTACTCGACGTCCTTGACGTCCTCGAAGACGGCCGTCCAAAAGTCGGGCTTCCAGAACTTCTCGTCGTCGTCCCACTCGCGCGCCGGCGCGAGCTTGTCCTCCTCCTCCTGCACCTTTGGGTCCACCGGCACCACATTCTCGTACTGCTTGGCGAGCACCTGCAGCCGCGCCTCGAAGTCGAGCCCCTCCAAGTCGGGCGCCTCTCGCCCGACCAGCCCCATCCCCGCGTCCGCATCGCTCGCCGCACCGCCAGCAGCAGCCCCTGGGCCCGGCTCTCCGCCGGCAGGCTCGCTCGCCCGAAGCATCCGCGTGCGCAGCGCGGCGCGAGCGGGACGGCTCGACCAGCCGCCGGCCGCGAGCGCATCCGCCGGAGCGAGCAGCAGCGGCGCCAGGCACAGCAAGGTCGGCAGGCGCCAGCGACCACCGCGCGCAGGCATTCTCGTCACTCTCGTCGAGCTCGGCGCGAGAAGCGCAAGCCCAAAAAGAATTTGCACGTGCCTCACAACGGGACTGGCGCGCACTGGCTAGCGCACCACACACCTCTCCTTAAAATCCCTGTGTGGTGGCGGCGTGCCGTCCTCCCCATCCCTCCCTTGGGTTGTCTGTTTTCTTTCTTTCTTTCTTTGGCGCGCACTGGCACTAACACAGGGCCGCATTGTGCAGATTTTTAGCAATACCAAACAAATCTAACACTCACACGTTGTGTTTGCATTGTGTAGCAAAGGTGGGGACGTGTCTGTCTGTCCTCAACCCAGCCCTAGCTTGGGATGTCCGTTTTATTTATTTATATTGTGCCAGCCCCTATGTGTGTGAGTGTGATGTGACAGTTTCACTCAGTGAGTGAGTGAGTGAGTGAGGTTTGTTTTTGTGTTGTGAGGTGTGAACAGAGTTCAAGCTGCGACCTACTACGCGCCGGCGCTCGGCGCACCCAAGTCCAAGCTGGAGTTGATCGATGCTTCCCTTTCTTTCGCGAGCGGAGGCGGTGCGGACTGCCGGACGCCTCGGTCTCCCCTCTGCCCGTGCGACTTTCGCTAACTCCATCGAAGTGAAAGACTCTCTCGAAGTGTAGACCGTCTCTCTTCGGCGCGCTTGGCACCAAGAGGCTTTGATTCTTACGACCCTCACCGCCAAGGCAGGTGTGCACTCTGCTAGTACTTGTGTGCTCACACCATCTCTCTCCGTAAGGTGTGTGTGGCCGGGTGTGTCCCACGTGGCCACGTCCCAGATCCCGGAGTCGGACAAGAAAGAAAATATGCGTCGGCTGCCACCTCGCCGCCACCGAGAGCCGCTGCTGGCTAGATCTGTCTTGAACGTCGGGGGAGACGCCGTTCACATAAACTACATGAACCGTGTCGCTGCACGCCGTTCGATTGTAGATGTCTTGCAGCGATGGAAGCACCTGCTGCTGCGCCGCCGTCGACACGAGCACTGGAATCGCCGACTGCTCATTGGTGACAGCTGTTGCCGAAGTGCGCCTGCCCTCCTTCCCCGCCCAGCTGAAGCAGCACTCGCCAAAACTGCGACGACCTCCCACCCGAGAGTACCCTCCCCAGATTCCTTCACTCCGTACCCGCACTCTCCCTTGCTTCGCAGAGAGCCTTCGAAAGATGCGCCGACGTCACCTCCGTCACCTTTGGGGCGAACCTCGAGAGCATCGGAAACTCCGCCTTCTCAAACTCGGGCCTCCTCGGCGACCTCGACCTGAGCAGCACCAGCCTCGCCACCATCGCGATGGTGCGCGCTCCCTCTCCCCCCCCCCCCTTCCCTTTTTCTTTTTTTCGGAGGCCCGGACGGGAGCCCCCACGCATATTTACGCCCCGCCCTCGTGGAAGTTTGCTTTCCAAGAAATCCCCGCGCCGGGAATCATTTGGGTGGTTTTCCCCGGGAGCCTCTTGAGAATGGGACTCGGTGCCTTTTATGCTCGGGAGGGGGGGAAAATCCCCGCTGTGGACCTGAGCCTGGCAATCAACCTGGCCACCATGGGGGAGGGGGGGGTTCCCCCCCCCCCCCCCCCCCCTCGCCCCTCTCCCTTTCTTCCGACGCCCCGACGCGAGCCGCCACGCACCGCCCTCGCTGCAGGCGGCCTTCGCCCAGTGCCAAGGCCTGACTTCCGTCACCTTCGGGTCGAGCATCGAGAGCATCGAGAGCATCGGAGGCTCCGCCTTCTACGACACGGGGCTCAGCGGCACCCTCGACCTGATCACCGCAACCAGCCTCAACACCATCGGCAATGTGCGCGCTCCCTCCCCCCTTCCCCCCTCCCCCCTAGCCTTTCTTCCCGACGCGAGCCTCCACGTACCGCCCGCTATGCAGGAAGCCTTCAGAGGCACCGACATCACTTCGGTCATCTTTGCGTGCGGCGCGAACGTCGCTATTGGCACCGACGCCTTGGGGCCCGCCACGCGCGTCGATGCCTGTCCGCCGTCCCTACCGCCCTACCCTCCGCCTCCGTCCCCACCGCCCTACCCTCCGCCTCCGTCCCCACCGCCGTCGGCCTCGCCGTCGCCGCCGCCCCCAGCGGCCTCGCCCTCCCCGCCGCCTCCGTCGGCATCGCCGTCGCCGCCGCCGCCGTCGGCATCGCCCCCGCCGCCGTCGATCACCGACTTTCCAGCCGAACCGCCGAGCTCGCCACCTTCCGCTCCGCCCGACTACGGTCCCGGCGACCTTCCAGCCGAACCGCCTTCCGCACCGCCAGACTTTGAGCCGCCGCCGCCATCGTCGCCGCCGCCGCCGACCGCGCCCCCGCTGCCGCCGATCCGCGAACCTCCAGCTGATCCGCCGTCCGCCCCGCCAGCCTCCGAGGAGTGCTATCCGGGCATCCCCGGTGGGCTGGCTTGCCCGCCCGGGCACTTCCTCGGCTTTGGCAAGAAGGGCGGGTGCCGGACCACGACGTGCGAGACTGGCCAGTACACCGCCCTCCGGGGCATCACCACGTTTGACGCGTGCGCGGAAAGGTGCCTCCGCGATGCCACCTGCAAGGCGTTCGAGTGGTTCCCTCGACCCCGCGGGCTGCTCCCTTCCAGGGCACCGTGTGAGATCCACCGCGATGCCCCCTTGCAAACAGCGGCCGACTGCGGGGAGACCGGTCAGGCCCTTGACCACTGTTGCTGCACGCGGGCTTGAGTATGCCGACCCCCACTCGCGGAGCTGCGTCTCATCTAACATTGCCGAGGCTTTCTCCGCCTTCGAGGAGACCATGATTCGCCACGCGAAGGACGGAGCGTTCGCGCTTCGTTCACACTAGTTCGTACAAAGGCACGCTCGCCGCCACCAGTAGGGGCTGCAGCATCACCACCTGTACCGCTGCTCTCGGCGAGGCAGCATACGGCGGCCGCTGCTCCGGCGACCGCTGCTCCATTCCCAGCGCCGTGTCTCCGCCTCTCCCCATCAACGTCGGCGCGATTAACGGCTGCTCCGGCTGCATCGATTGGCAACACCAACCTGTGGTCAGCTACAACTACCAACCAACCTCTGAAATGGTGCCACAACTGTGCCATCCCTTCTTGCCCGGCATAGCAAAACCAAGCGGCCGAGTGTACTAGCTCGCAACCGCCCGATTTTTATAATCCTCTACTATTATAATACTAGTACACACACACGTAGCGGAGTGCGAGTGGGCCCCGAGTTTGAAAAGGGCGACGGACGCTTGCGTCCTAGGACCTAGCCGCTACACGTAGCTCCTCCAACAACGCCCCCGGCGCAGAGGGGCCCCCGGAGGGATGCACAACGTGGGCAGGTGCGTTATTTTTCGCACACTGGGCGGCTCAGGCTCCTGCGCGCACCACTGGCACTAACCGTCCAACTTTTTTCGGTCGCCACAGCTGTGGGAGCGGCCTGTCGACGCCCTCACCGGCGGGTTGGACTCGCGCAGCAAGGCAGCGAGACACAGCCACCGCACGGCACAGCCCTCGCCCTCTGGCTGCGCCGCCAGCTCGAAGCCGCGCTCTTGCGCCCACAAGCGGATGCCCTCCTTCGCAAGCGAGGCGTGGAAGATGTGCGAGACGGCCGCAACGCGAGCGATGTCGGCGGGGTCGCAGCGAGAGACGACACGCACGAGGAGCTCCGTGGGGAGGTCGAGGAGGCGGGTGGGTACCTCGCCCTCCGCTTCCACCCCTCTAGCAGGCCCCTCCTCGGCCCCATCTCCCGCGCTGCCCTCCCCTCGCGCGGGAGCGACGTCCGCCTCGTCCCGCTCGTACGCGATGCCAAACTCATTGGCGCGCTTCCGGTCCACGGGGTAGAGGCGGCGCTGGTAGAGGAGGACGAGGAAGACGAGGTCGTCCCGCAGGCAGGCGACGCGGTGGGCGGTCGGCATCGCGACCATCAGCGCGAAGGCGTCGTCGATGAAGGTGTTGAAGGCCTTGTACGCGAGGACGCGCCACGGCAGGTGGGCGACGCTCTTCATCTGGCGCGAGGGGGGGCGGGGGAGCTCTGCCTCGAAACGGCGTGTGTACTTCCTCGGCGCGCCGTGGCGACGGCAGAAGCGAGGGGGCTGGTCTGGCGCAGGCAGGGGCACGGGGAAGGGGGGTGCCCTGGGAGGGACTGAGGCCTGGAGGGTGCGGGGGGGTTGAGCAGCGAACCGCCTTGTGGCTGATGAAGATCTGGGGATCTCGGAGAGCTCGGGCCATCTCGGGCCATCTCGGCTCCTCTCGGCGCCTTGTAGTTGATGAAGAGCTGTGGCGTCATCGCGATGAAGCCGAAGAGGTAGATCGCGTCGGCCAGCGAGCCGAGCAGCCAGCTGTACCTGACAAGAGGGTGCAGAATCCAAGGTTGGTGACTCACCCCCTCGGAGGCGGGGCTGGCGGGAGGACGGCAGGGAAGCGGCGCGCCACGACGCGTGCGGGTAGTGGAGCAGCGCGTACAGCGCCCAGCCGACGACCAGCGGCGCGAGTCCCCACGTCAAGTGCCGCGTCGCAACCTCGTCGAACCGCTCCGTCGCCGCCTCGGCGCGCGCGCCCTCGCCGCCGGCGCCGCCGGCCGCGCCGCGCGCCCGCCGCCGCATCGCAACCACCTTGGTCAGCTTCCAAAGCTCGAGGGCGGTGGAGAAGGCGTAGGTAGCGAGGACGATCGAGTTGACGCCGTCGCCGTCGAGCAGGTAGAGGAAGATGACGAGCGTGGAGCCCGCGTTGAAGATGACGCCGCGCGAGGACAGGCCCCTCAGGTCCTCCCGCCCCTTCCAGAAGCCGACGTCGTTCCGGAAGGCGAGCGCGTCAAAGACGACGTGGAGCAGCCCGATCAGCTGCATCAGCGCGAAGCGGTAGAGGCGCTTCTCGGAGAGCAGCTCGCGTAGCTCGTCGAACTCGGCCTGCAGGAAGGTTCAGAGAAGGTTCAGAGAAGGCTCAGGGGGGAAGGCACAGCTCGCGCAGCGCGTCAAACTGCCTCCATCCCGCTGGCCGCCTGCAGCGCGCCAAGCGCCGTGTGCAGCTGGCGCGTGGCGCGGTACCGACCGAGGGAGATGGGCAGCAGCCGCAGCCGCAGCCGAGGAGGCTCCTTGCCCACGTCGCTCGAGAGAGGCAGCGCGTGCTTGCCCAGCAGGCCGAGCTCGTCGACGTAGAGCCGAGGCGCGTACACGCGCCGAGACCAGTCCACGCCGTTCGCGACCTGGGCCCCGTCGCTCGGCAGCACCGGCCCGGCGTGCGGCGTCTCGTCGGCAACCAGCCGCAGCTCGAGGCTCGCCGCCGCATAGAGGTAGTGCGGCACCTCGCCCCGCTCGTTGGGCGGCGCGACGCCGCTCTGCTCGCTGGAAACGGCGACGCCGCTCTGCTCGCTGGAAACGGCGATGCCGCTCTGCTCGCTGGATACGGAGGCGGCGCTCTGCTCGCTGGAAACGGCGACGCCGCTCTGCTCGCTGGAAGCGAAGGCGGCGGGGACGGCGGCGGCGGCAGAGTCGGAAGTGGCGGAGCCCGGGCGTGGAGGAGACGGCTGGCTCGGCGAGCAGCATGCGGGCGGTGCTGCGGCGTCGCGGCTGGCGGCGCGCGCAGAGGAGCGCCCGGGCGTGCGCGATGGGCTGCTGCTGACCGGCGAGCGCGATGGAGAAGTCGAGATGCAGCTCCTCTCGACTGCCCAGCCGCACCTCGGCCGGGACCGGGACCGCAAACGCGACGTCCTCGAGGCCTGCGCCGCTGCTCACACCGGCTGCGCTCCAGACGAGCCGCCCGTCGATGTGCGCCTGCAGGTCGACGGCGGCGCCGCTGCGCAGCAGCGGCTGCAGACAGGCGGCACCGCGGCACGGCGACGGGTAGAAGAGCTCGAGCAGCGTGTGCGAGAGGATCGCCACGTAGACGGCGAGCAGCGCGAGGGCGGCTCGGCCGCAGGTGAGGGCCATGGCAGAGGTCCGATAGGTGCGAAGGCTGGCCGCTCTTGGCGGCTCCCGAGGTGTTTCAGTGCGCCTGGGCGCCTGGGGCGCCTGTCACGCCGTGCCGGGTCTGCGAAAAGAATTTTACACGCCGCACAACACTGGGCACGGGATGCAGACTGGCACGGCGCTTCACTTGAATGGCGTTCGCTTCGGCCGGCCTGCCGCCGCCGGTGCTCAACGCTGCCGCTGCCGAGGGCGCGGCGCGCGGCCGCGACGGCGCGCAAGAGGCCGATGATGGCCAGAGACTCGGCGTGAAGCGCCGCCTCGACGGCGAGCTCGCGAGCGCGCGCGTCAACGACGACGACGCCAAAGAAGGCGACACCATTATGGTGGACGCCGCACAGATGGCCGCTGCGGCGGCCGCCGGCACCGACCGCGGCACGAAGCGCCTGCTGCACGTCGCGCTCGCGGCGCGCGACGGCTCGCACATCCCGGACATCCAGAACAAGACGGCGCTCGTCACCGAGGTGCGCCAATTGATCAAGAAGACACCAGGCGGCGAGGCGCAGCAGGCAAGCGCGATCAGCGTGCCCATCATCGGCACGTCGCGCGCCATCTGCGTCGCCTTCAGCGGCGAGAGCGAGGCACGCGCCTTCCTCGAGCAGTACGCCGGCGGTGGCGTCCTACAGCTCCCAGCGCCAGACAACATCACCATCACCTTCGCCGCTCTCGACGCCACTGTGTGGGGCAAGCAGGCGGAGGCGCGCGAGACCCAGGCGACCACGGACTCCGAAGGCCTCCTCGCCATACGCACGCGCGGCGCCATCGACACCGCGGCCCAGATCGAGCACTTCGCCCCCCTCTTGGAGAAGCACTTCGGCAACATGGTCTCCATCCAGGAGGGATACCACTCCTTCCTGGGCACGAAGTCGGACGAGAAGGACGGCTCGATCCTCTTCAAGGTGAAGAACGAGAACCTCGTCTGCAACCTCCCGGTCCTGCCCAACGTCTACGCGAGCGGCGATGTCGGCGGACCCCTCCGCCTCGACGTCGGGTGCGTCAAGGTCCTCGGCAACAAACTCTGCCCCTCCTGCCGCGCATTTGGGTTGACCAACGCCGACATCATCCACGACGCGCAGTGCGCCGCGCAGGCGCTCAAGGAGAGGCGCGCCGCAGCGGCGAACGTCGCCAAGAAGAAGACCTTCGAGAGCCTCATCGTCGACAACAAGGTCGAGGTCGCGCGCGCGGCGGGCAAGGCCAAGGCGATGGCGGCGCGCGACGGGATCGGCTTCTGCCCGGCCTTCAACCAGACCGCCCTCCCGTGCAAGACCGCCGCTCGCTGCCGCTACGCGCCGTGTGTCAACTTCGAGGCGCTCCTCCACTCCGCCTTCAAGGACACTATCTACGAGCGCATGCCGAGCGCGGTCAGGCTGGGCACAAGCCGCGGGCGGCGCGGGCGCGGCGGCCGCGGCCGCGGCGGCGGCGGCGGCGAGGTCAAGAGCAACAAGAAGGACTGGGCGAGCGTCGCCCGCGGAGCCGCACGCTCCCCCTACGACGGCGGTCCACGCCTCGAGTCCAACGAGCCCTCGCTATACGAGGGGAGCGACGAGGAGCTCTAGGAACGGCCGCCGAGCCCTTCCCGCAGCGCATCCCTAGCAGCGCAGCGGGCAGGGCGGCTCGCGCAGCGCGCGCGCGCGATCGCGCAAGCGGCGCGCGAGAGCGAGCGAGCGAGCACACACACACACACACACACACACACACACACACACACACACACACACACATGTTGTACACATGCACAGACACACAGCCCCTTCCCCTTCAAGGGCGAGGACACGCGCAGGGGTCGCACTTCTAGCGAGGCCCACAGAGTGGGAGACTCCTATCACCGCCACTGCCACCCACGTGTCAGTCTGCCTGTGGTAGAAGAGACTGCCGGTGAGAAGTCGGAGGAAGGTCGCTAGTCGAGAGAGATCGCCAGTGGATAGGGAGTCCACCGTGCTGCGAGCCTGTCGCTGTCCCTTGTCAGGAGCAGGAGAACTAGGAGAGCGCAACCAGTAGGAGGCCCGCGCTTGCCCCCGTGCCGCCGGGTGCAACCTGTCCTATACGAGAGAGGAATCCCTGGGACCCTGTCGTGAGGGTGAACCCTGCCCAGCCCCCCTCCGTGTCGCGATGCGCTCCCCGCTCCCGTTCCCCGGTGTCCCTGATCGTCCTTACAAGATCCTGCTCGTGCAGGTGGGGACCCTGTCCTTCTCCCACCCCTCGTTTGGCGTGTCCGTTGTATTTATTTATTTATTTACGGGATGCAGAGGCGGACTCCCTAGGGTGGGCGACGGCTAGCGCACCACACACCTCTCCTTAAAATCCCTGTGTGGTGGCGGCGTGCCGTCCTCCCATCCCTCCCTTGGGTTGTCTGTTTTCTTTCTTTCTTTCTTTTACGGGATGCGTCGCCCATCTCTCCCTGGAGATGACTGCTCTATTTATTTATACGGGATGCGACGGCTAGCGCACCACACCCCTCTTCTTAAAATCCCTGTGTGGTGGCGGCGTGCCGTCCTCCCATCCCTCCCTTGGGTTGTCTGTTTTCTTTCTTTTTACGGGATGCGCTCCCCGCTCCCCTTCCCCTGTGTCCCTGATCGTCCTTACAAGAGGACGCGAAGCGAGTCGCACGGCGCGGACGTGGCGTTTCTGCAGGCGGGGCTGCGGCTCTGCCGGCCCGGCGGCGCGGTCTATTCGCTGCACAAGACCTCCACCCGCCCGTTCATCGCGAAAAAGGCGGCCGAGGCCGGCGGCGAGGCCTCCGTGGTGGCGGAGCTGCGGTTCGAGATCCCCAGAATGTACAAGCACCACCGGCAGCCGAGCAAGGACGTGGCGGTCGACTTTTGGAGAGTGCAGAGAGGGGGCGGGGGCGAGGAGGGGGAGGGGGAGGAGGAGGTGCCGTCGTGAGAAAGAGAGAGAGCATGAGAGAGAGAGAGCGCGCGGGGAGCAGGAAAGAACAAAAAGTCGAAATGTGAACGTCGGCCCGCAGGCAGAGTGTACCGAGGCGGTGCCCGGTGCCGAACAGACAACTTTTTTTCTTCTGGAGAACAAGAAGAAAAACCCAAGCGCAACGGCCGACCGGGCAAACATGAAACAAGGCACTTGGTTGCGCCGCCGCCCGCTGGTTAACGCTCGTGATGAGCGCCGCCGAACGACGATATCTTCATCCGACGCTGAAAGGCGTTCGCTCCGACGCCGGCACATGCTCGCTCACCGTCTTTGGTCACATCCCAAAGACGGGCGGTACCACCGTCGACGATCTGTTTTGGGCGCTTGCGAACGCTAGGCCGCCCGAGGTCAATGTGAGTGGACGTATGATTGGCAAGAACTGGAGCGCGGTCTCGGAGGGGTCCTACGTTGCGACACATTCCATTAGTCACCACTTCCCAAACGATGTGCTCCACGCCATCTTGGGCCTGCGGTTTCAGAGGCACAAGGTCCCGACCTTGCTGCCCTCGTGGCACCGCACGCACATCTACCACTCCTATCACCCTCACGGCCGTGACATGCGGCTCTTCCTGTCGCACCTGCCGCAGCTCCGCAAGATGTATCGCGACGCTTCATGCATGCTCCAGGTCGTGACGGTGGTGCGTGAGCCAAAGTCTCTTCAGCGGTCTGCATACCGATACTTTCGGCTCGACGGCGGGCTTGGTGTGGTTCCATCGCTCTCTCGCACCTCGAGCGTGCGGAGGAATGCCACGTTGCTCGCCGACGACCTCGCTCTGTGGCTAGCCCAAAACCCGGATCGGCAGAGCCGGTGGCTGAATAGCGGGATCAGCTCCACCCTCAACCTCTCAACTCCGCTGCATTACGCGCAGCTATTAGCGGCCTACGACTACGTGGCACCGAGCGCGCGACTCAACGAGTTTCTCTGGTTTCTGATGGCGCGTATCGGTGTCTACTTGCCCGCCTCGCACAGTGAGGGCGCACCGGGACCCCTCTCTGCTCGCTTGCCTTCGTGCAACTCAAACGCCGGCTCCGAAAAGGTCCTCAACGAAGCGATTATGAAGCAGCACGTACAGGATGCATTTTCTCTGTACACGACCAACGATGCCTTGCTCTTCCGCGTTGCCACAGCTCGCTACGCGGCCGACGTCGCAGCCGCAGAGGAGAGCCGCAGCCAGCTCGCCTTCATGCAAGCCGCTCGGCGAGCGCTGGCCAATGGCAGTACGACAACTCAGACTCGCGTGGGAGTCTGGCCGATCGAGCTGCACCTCAACTGCCACAAGGGGCGCGTGCCCTCTGAGGTGGCGACAGAGCTCCGGAGAACGGGCACCACGCACGTGTTGGGTGAGAATGCTTTGTGCCCCGCCGAGCGATTAATCTGCGTGCAAGGCGCCGCCTCGCAAAGATGGTAGAGTTACTCTTATCTTGAATCAGTTCCCGGTAGGCGGTATATACGTAACGTTATATCTTAGTCATCCGCGGAGCCGACTCCGCACCCGGCGGGGCGAGACGAGCGGGCCGGCGTGTGGCATGGCCGAGATATTCTGGGTGTGAATTTCACGGAGAGCGCGCGCCGCGCCGGGAGCGCCGGCGGTGGACGCGCTTCTCCGCTTCCTGACGGGAGCAGCCAGCTGCCAGGTCATCCCCTCATCCGGGACGCGGGAGGTCAGAAGGGACACCGCTCGTGTCACTGATGACAGACGTCAGAATCTCTTCAATACAAAAAAGCTCGTTGGACGCCAGAGACGGTTCCTTTTGGCGGCGCGAAATGGCAAGTCGCGGCGGGGCTCCCGAGGCGAGGTGGCACCTGTGGGTGTGCGTGTGGCGTGTGGGCGGCATCCCCCCCCTCCCCCCCCGCCTCGCCACGCATGCGCCGCGTCTTACCGCGCCTCGCCGTGCTTCCTCACTGCCCCTCGAACTCTGGGTTCTTTTTGAGGATGACCACGCCCTCGAGCACCGAGGTGAGCGGCAGGTACTCGTCCGTCGCGAGCTCGGCACGCTCGCCGATGGCCAGCAGCACGGGCGTGGTGTGCGTCTGGAAGCCCGTGATCGTCTTCGGCCTAAACAAGGAGTCGAGCCGCCGTAAGAAAGGAGTCGCGGCGCCGGACCGCCTGGTCTGGTTTAGCCGAGCACCGCCCCGCGAGCCCGACGACGTCGACGGCCGTCCCCACGCGGACGGTGACGGGCAGCGGGTTGAGGTCCGCGTCCACCTCCCCTGGACGTTCTGCGGCCCCTACTCTGACCGCCCCACCCACGCCTCTCAACACGAGACGGCTGGGACGGGCCGCACCTCTCGACTCTCTGTCCTTCTATGTCGGGCAGTCCTCGACCGGCATTAGGTGTGCGCGGAGCAACGACAAGCAGACCACCGACGGCGCCACGTTTAAATTCACCAAGTCTGACAACGTGTTCACCAGTCCGCGCGACGACTAATGCTTCGTGCGGGCGCAGAGCACCGCCACCGTTGGGGTGGACGGCTATTACAGGTGCACGGTCACTCTGGACGGCGCGGCCGACTCTCCGAAATCGATCCAGATCCCGGTCCACGTCGTCCCCAAGCCGCAGCCACCGATAGGCACTTGTGAGTTGCACTACTCCGGCTCCCACGAAGTCGGCGAGGAGACCTGCTGGGCGACGTTCACCCCAAATGAGCTCGGCATCACAGATGGGTCGAGTAAGGTTGTCATGAAGTTCCAAGAGTACACCTCTTACGGCTTCGATGACCGAGACTCTGAGCAGATCTTGGGAGGACAACACCCTACCATCAAGTACACCCCGGAGCACAAATTTCACATGCCAGGCACGCCTCGCGCCAAGCCTCGGCGCCTCCCTTCCCGGTGATGGGCCGGCGTCTGGCTCGCCATTTACGGGCCCAGGGCCGCCAGCACCGACCTCATTGGCAGGCTCCTCTCCTTCGCCGCCAACGCCCATGACGCTGGTCTCCAGGTCCACAGTCGGAATTAGCCCGAGCAGCGCCTCGGCTGCGTCAATGTGGCGGTTGCGTTCCGCCTCGTCTACAATCATCTCGGCCGCGGCACGGAGGAGTATGGACGGGCCGGAGGCATCGTCGTCTTCGTCGTCGAGCGTTGCCTCCGTCGCGGCCGGGGCGACCGGGGCCTGGGCCGGGGCCGCTTCTTCGAACATGGTCAGACCATGTGCCGATCACGGATGGAACATAGGTTCGAGTATGGTCGGAACATGGGCTGATCACGAAAGGATCAAGGTCCGGAAATAGGGCCGTCACCACGGGCCCCATCTGTTCCGACCGTGATCGGACCATGATCCGACCATGATCAAAGTGATGACGGTCTGAACAGGACGGCACTCACGTATGGTCGCCTCTGTGTGTCCTGTGAGTGTCCTGGCAAGCTCCGTCGAGGCCGCATGTACATGGCATCGTACGCGCCAGTCACCGACTCGGAAGCACTCGAAGCGCTAATCGCCACCGGCGAGGCCATCGACCTGCGGCTGCGCCGGAAGCAGGCTGGTTTGCCGTCGTGCGAGCGGATGAGGGTTGGCCGTGGGCACGGCGGGAGCACATACGGCGTCCACGTGCTCTGCCATGCAGAGTACGAGGCCGGCGCGTGCACAGTTGTGAGCTACGGGGTGGAGCGTAACTACTGGTTCGAGCTCGAGCTCGCCAACCGGACGGGATGCCGCGTGGTGGCGTGCGATCCAACGGTGCGCCACCCGCCGCGCCTCGGCCCGAACGTCTTCTTCAAGCCCTGGGCGGCGCCGGCGAGCACGCCTCGCCTGATGTGCGGGCCGGGCGCCTCGCCTCGCATGCGGCCGAACTGCAGCCTCGCTGCACTGCTGCCGGAGCCGCGGATTGGTGCGGGCTGGCGGACTGTTGGTCCGTCCTTCCTGACTCGGCTCGCGACCGCTGAGAGGTTCGCCGAGCTTAGAGAGCTGGCAGAGATCTGCACCAGCCGCGATCTAGCCGCGATCTGGCTGCAATATGTCCGCGATCTGTGATCGGGCTGCAATCTGGTCGCGATCTGTGATCTTGCCGAGATATAGACGACATCTAGCCAGGAGGTCTAGCCGAGAGAGGCTAGCGGCTGCGAGAGACTCACCGACATCATGTCCCTTGCTTCGTTGGCCGTCTCGGAGCCCTCTCGAAAGCGTCCCAGAGCCTCACAGCCCCCTCCCGTAGGTTCGCGGACGAGGCGGTCTTCTCCCGCAATCTCGAGGTGTTGATACGCGGGGGCGATCGCCCGTCCCACCGCGAGGCATGTCCAGGACACGTCCAGGTCATGTCCGAGACATGTCTTTTAGGCGATCGCCCATCCCACCGCTTGCGCCCGCCTGGCAGCGCTGAGCTCCGCAGAGCGGTCGGGCCGACGGAGGCTGTCGGGAGGAGGGTGACGGGAGGAGGCCGCGGCGGCGGCGTCGATGCGCCGGCGGCGCCACTGGCAGTGCTCAAGATGGACTGCGAGGAGGCTGTGAACAGCGTCTCTTCACACCTCTAGCTGTGAATAGGCAGTGCTCAAGATGGATTGCGAGGGCTGCGAGTACTCGCTGTACGCCGACACGGTGGCCCACAACCCGATCTTCTTCGCCACCGTCGACCAGTTCGCCCTCGAGGTCCACCTCCCTAGAAGCGGAATACGTACTCTTGTATCCCAACCAGCGCCCGAGAGGACACGTATCCCGCTGTATTCACCCGTATTCCGCTGCATTCACTGTATTCCTATTCATTGTGTTCACGCGGTGCTCTGAATACGCTGCACAATACCGTCTTCCCGCCCTCATGTCGGCGTATTCAGCACGTAGGTCCACCTCTCTCTCAAGTGGGCGCCAGACAATGCGACGTTCCTGGGGTACGGCCGCCTGCTTGCACTGCTACGCCGCTCCGGTCGCTGCCGGCTGTGTGGCTCCTCCGCCCTCGTCGAATGCGCCTCTTCACAGAAGACGACGCGTGAACAGGCCACCAGCTGTACGATGCCTCCGCCGATTGGTGCTCGGGCGGCGAGCAGATGGGTGAGATTCCGCCGAGATGCAGCCTCGAGATTCGGCCGAGATGCAGCCTCGAGGTGCAGCCTAGACGCTCCGCTTGGGGCATTGCTGGGTGCCCAAGAGATTGCGAGAAGAAGGTGAATGCTTGCGGCTCGCCGAGTTGACAGTGACCGGCCCGCCCCTACAGGCTTGCTGCCACTAGTACGTGGCTCTGGCTACTTTCGCCGCCGACGAGGCCTTAGGCTCTTGCGCCCTTTTTCGCGCACTGACTCGTCTCTCACACAACGCATCTACACGCTCTAGGCCACTGCGAAAACTTGCTCTTTGCGCGCGGGAGACGCGGCCGCGAGGCCTAATCTGGCGGTCCATCTAAGGTAAGGTAAGGTAAGGTAAACGTCTGCTGGCATTGCGGCACCTCACCCCGCCTCCCACGCGAACGCGTGCGCCATCCGCGGCCCTCGCCCTCTGGGGGGGCGCGGGGGCCCTAGAGGGT